TTAAATTTTTAAAAACTGCAATCCCAGCGCAAGAACCGCTATTTTAAATCATGGCAAGCAAGCACTATAAGATTTTAGACCGCGATAAATGCATAATGTATCTTATATCTTATATCTTATACTATATATAATACATATTAGTCATATCTTGAATTTTAAGAGGTACAAAATACAAAACTTGTTGTACAAATCAATTATACATAACAAAACCATTAATACTTAACAAAATTTTGAATACTTGATTTAAGGAAGGTTATTAAAAAATTAATTTGGAGCAAAATAACAATTTTAAAATATTAAATTCATCAATATAAGTTAATTTACGTTTGTTAAACTAGATACAAATAATAATTAATTTATATCAAATATATAAAGATACAATATAAATATAAGTTCTAAACATAAATATTTTAATCAAAAGTGGTAATTTTATTATTACATAATAACTATTAACAAAATCTAATAATTACTTCCCGTAAGAAAACTATTCGCTGAAAAACTATTTAACGCCGTTGCGTTACACGGGCACACATCTACTATATATATATATATATATATATATATATATATATATATATATATATATATATATATATAATTAAATAAATAAATAAGGGTAATTAGGTAATTTTATAAACAACTTCCCCAAATACTTTTCTATTATTATGCTAGTTGATTTTAACCTAATTTATCCCTTTTTAATTACTACCGACGTCACTTTGAAAACCCCCCGTAGGATTCAATCGAAAGCCTTCAACCACCACGATCCAAAGTTTGGATCTTGACTGAACACCAGTTACTATTCCCTTCATCTCTTCGCCATTTTCAAAAAAATACCAAGCCATTATCGCCTCTACATGTTCTTCTGCAATTATGATTTAAGAGTAACGCTACATACACACACACCCGCACATAGTTTGGGCTCGAATGAAGAAAGAAGGGGAATTAAAGTCCGATTTCTTGATTTATGATTTCATGGGCGTTGACACATGTATTTGTACATCGATGAAGGTGAGAAGGAAAGCACGAAGTAGCTGCAAAGTCCAATGGATGTCGATCGATTGCAGGCTAAGGAAGCGTCTCCAGGGGGCGACGAGACTGAAGCAACGAGCTTTTGTTCCCTCTTTTCCGATTATGAGGTGAGAAGAGGAGGAGGTCGGAAGAAGGTTTAGGATGAGGTAGGCAGAAGCAATGGTTGATGGGGATGGAATGGAAAGGAAAGGTGTGAGGGAAAAGGGTCTGTTTCCCGTCGATGGTGGAAAGAGGTGAGCGGATGGGGGCTTCTCCAGCAGCCTCCATGTTGCTTCTAATTTTTTTTTTTTGGCATGAATCAATGGAAGGTAAGGTGCTTGGTTTCGATATTTGACAGGTGGAGAGGCAACCACTAGAGGTGATAAGGGTTCTCCCTGTGGTGATCGACATGAACATGTGAGGGAATAAATCATGTGGCTACTGCCTCCTTGTTCAGTTAGAGAAAACAACACCACCAATGATAGCATCAAGTAATGAAGGAACAAGGGAGAAACGAAAATGATCCTCAGGAAGGAGAGATGCGGCTTCTCTGTCTTCACTGAGAGAAAGATGGGTGAGGGGAGGTCTTTCATTGCACATTTAACTTGGAATTATATATATAATCTGATCGGCTCATATTCAATTTGATTTTGATGTGATTTTTAGTGTACAATTTAGGAATTGTTTAGATTTTAACTTGATTTTTGGCTGCATTTTATGAATTGATTCATATTTCATTTTATGTTTTTTTTCCCTGATTTAACACTTCATTCATCTGGACAGTGTAGGATATTGACAAGGTTGAATTCTGAAAAGATATCAACTATGTTTATGTAGATGATTCAATGAGTGATATTGGTTAGATTTCAATTCTATTGGAATGGAATCACGAATTATAATTGTGTTGAAATTGAATCACGAATTCCAATTATGTTAGAATCACAGAAGTTGATGCTTGAAGAATAGACCATAAAAGTGAATGTGATTCTAAGCAACATTATTCTTGTAGAATGTTTTAGTCGTTGTTAGATTTTGTTGTTTATTTCCCGTTTTGAAAGTTTTTTTTTAGTTTTATTCTTTAACAATAAATGTAATTCTTAATAATTGTTACCCGTATTCTCTAAGAAATAATATATTTTTTGTTATTATTCTTCAATTGATTGTTTAAAGAATTTGTTATTCTACAACAAGTTTTTATATTCATGATCAAGAAATAGGTTCAAGAATATTTTTCTTATTTATGGTTCAAGAATATTTTTATTTTTGAATATACTCATAAACATATTCTTTGAGAATGTCCAAATTAAAAGATTTATAATTTGTAAAATCGGATTTTTAAAATTAATAGAATCTATAATCCCTTAAAAAATGCAATTTTTCCTTATTAAATCTATATTATTTGACTAAATTACCCTTGTAATTAATTAAGATGATATTTTTCAATTATATTTAATTCAATAATATATATTAATCACTTTTTTAAAATAAGTAAAATTGATTGGTCCATATTTATACATACAATAACACAATAATTACTTTGAATACAATAACCTAACCATATATATATATATATATATATATATATATATATATATATATATATATATATATATAATATATATATATATATATATATATATATATATATATATATATATATATATATAATATATATATATATGAGACTAATGTAGATTTTCAAATAGCAAATTTAAATCTCAACTCATATATAATAAAAGTAAATATTAAACACACTTTAAAAATTGCCACCATAAAAATATGTCATATTTTAGAAATCTTTTTATTCATAAAATTAAATAAATAAATAAATAAATACTTAAAATGAAAAACCTTTTTATTCATAAAATTAGTTATGTAAAAAGCTAGCATGACAAAAAAATTAGATAAGTTATTAAATCTGCTATTAGCTTTTGATACGTTATTATACTAGTTGTGAAACCCGTATATTATACGCGTTAATTAAAACATAATGTTAAACATGATCGATTAAATGAAAAGTTTATTTGAATTTGAAATATGAGATTAGTGATAACTATGAAAAAAAACATGCAAAAAATAAATTAATTAAAATTATGTGTTTAATTGTTAGACCCGTGTACTAAACAATTTATTATAATAAAATGTTAAATACAAATGTTTAAAGTGTAAATTTATTTGAAATTGAAATTGAAATTGAAATTGAAATTGAAATTTGAAATTTGAATTTTGAAATTAATAGTTATTATAGTAGGTTTAATTTATGAAAACTAAATTAATGATATAGTGAAAATGAATAATGAAGTAATTAACAAGTGGAAAATAAATATATTTCAAAATTATGACAAAATGATATGTAGCCAAATAAATGAGAGAATGACAAGTGATAATAACATTTTCATTTATTAGGGTAGATTAGATGAAATTATCAAAAGCTTCAAAACTTACTAATCAGTTTTCGGACTTCTTCTTGTAATTTTGGAATTTTTTCTTTCTCCAGATTCCAAACATTCAGTCATAAATCCAGAATATTTGTCTAGAATTCCAGAATGTCAGTCGGATTTTTTTTTAAATGTCTTTTTTCTTAGTCCGGAATCCTCAATTTTGGACTTGGTGGTTATTTTCCAAAATAATAATTTTTTGGTTATTTTTTCTTCAAATACAGATTAACTTATGATTAGATTACTAATATCCCTAAAAAAGTTACGTATTTTGCTAACCAATGTTTTGGCGGTATTGACGATAGTGGCTGCTTGGTACTTTTTTAGATTAATTTGTCAATCTTTGTGTTCTTGTTCAAATTTAGAGGCTTTGCTATGTTCATTAGCTTCCCTTTAGTGGTGTTGGTGTTTTCATTTATGGTATGTAGGTGGTTTTTTTTTTAATGAAAGTCATTTTGCTGTTCAAAAACTAAATAAATTATTGTATACTATTACCTTATACACTTCACCGAATCCTCCTCTCCCTATTCGATATTCTTCGCTAAAATTTCCAGTTGCTAGTTTCATATCTTTATAGCTGAAATTTACTGCCCCTTGTAGCTCAGAAGCATCTATTTATATGAAATGGCAAACATACATGCAATTAGATATGATTTCCTAATGCTTATATATATACTAGTTAATGAATTAGAATAGAATTCAAGTTGTCACCTTCTTCAATTGCCTTTGATCTTTTTCGTAGTCGATACCATAGTGAGAAAACAAGGATAAGCAAGAATATGCCTCCACCGACTGTTACTGCAACAATCATGCCTAATTTGCTTGAACTCTCTGCAACATACAATGATAGAAAATTATTTTTGTTAGGTTATTCTCATGACTAAATGTGAGGAGAAACATATTTTAACAGTGAAGTAGCGAAAAAACTTTTGGGTGATGCTTATTTTAATCCATTATACTTGTCTCTTCATGTTTAAACATCAAATACATTTGCAAAAACACAAAACTAACACTTGAATTGGTAAAAGGATGCGAATAGCTAAAATAGAGTCATTCGGCGATTATCATAAACTCAAGTGTGCATGTATATTTAGGCAACAATGGCGTTTTTTTATTAAGAAAATAACAAGTTTATTGGTCTGAAATAGTAATTAAAAAATTAAAACAAGAAAGGGAAAAGTCCTTCCTGGTGAATGTCAGAATTTACATCCATATACATTACCTTCTTGTAGAAAAGACGTGATGTCAATCGTCTGGTTATCTTTAAAAAATGGTGTGCCAGAATACCTCATAAAACACCCCAAATTAATAGCTCTTCCTTCGGTATTAGGGAGACAATCTACTAAATTGTTATATGCTGTATCCAAACAGTCTTGGCAAATATTTTGAGTTGTGTTTTCAATGCATTGTGCAATTGCATATAATGTTGCATTTCCACTTGAGCGTGTTGTTGTAGATGCAACATAAAAGTTAGAAGTTCTTGGTGTGGCAACTCGAATATCTGATAAAAACTCCTCCATAGATTTGTTGAAGGTTGATGGCTCGGATGTTGATTGATTACCACATATTCCAGCTGAAGTCACTCCTACATCCTCTATCACTGTTGGATCATCGTAGTAATTTTGGTAGTTCTGATACCTTAAGGAAAAAGAAATGAAGAGAGATAATACACTAAAACAAAGATCACAAATGGTTTAAACGAATATTAGAATGTTAGTTTCTAGACCACATTTTAGAATACACATTACATATGGATTAAGTAACATTTTCTAAATATTTAATGATTAGCAGAATTTATTAAACTAAAAAGAAGCTAATAAACAAGCACTCAAGTGTGCTTACATGAGTTAAGTAAGTAGCTGATAATTAGAAAGGATTTGAAGCCTAGATAAATGAAAACTTTTTACATGTGGTCTAGAGACTAGAAAACTTTTTACATTTGATGAAACACAAACAAACTAATCAAGCAACATTGTTTAAGATCTTTAAGACTAACAAGAAATAAAACTATTTGACATTAGACAAACATCTTTTATGCCCAACGAATGTGTTGAATTAATGTAAAATTTAGTAATGTTGTATTTTGAAATTGTTCAAATTGTGAATGAGTTAACCCAACAACTTACTTCATTATTTGACCAGTGGAATGATGTTATTCCATGGGCTAAGAGGAGAAAGAAGAAAATGTTATCTTTAAAGTTGACTTTAAGAAGGCATTTGATGACTTCAGTTGGAAGATCTCATAGATAATGACGACCTAAATTGAACATAAAGGGGTTTGAATACGGGTAAAATTGCATCAGAGTCCCCTGATCAAGAGATGCTACCATTGGAATGTACGCTTTCTGGGGTTGCTAAATCTTTGTATATACTAAAAAATATAAAGCTGCTCAAAGAAATGGAGTGGATTAACGATGTCGAATTGGTTTATCTGGGAGACTTGACATGAAAATTGTGGTTCTCGTTCTTGCAAGAATAGTATCCATGGTACTATGTTAAAGAAAGGCTAGCATGTTTATCAACAATCCCAGGCATGCCCCCGGATGGGTGTTTGGGTGACAAAAGTTGCTAGATGTTGGGGTGAAGTCTTGGAAGAAGAAATTTGTAATCCCGGGGATAAACATAGAGATAGAGGAAGGGCTGTGATCTCCACCAAGCAAGGACAATGGATTCAAAGCAAAGTCGCAGTCATTGTCAACGGAGTCAGATTCGAAATCATTGTTATTGAGGACAAAGGGGAATCCGAAAATCTAGCACCATGTTTATCAGAAATTGATGCTAGTAGCAATGATGCTTCTGGTTCAGAGAATGACCTGAACGAATTAATCGATGAACAACTTCATGAAGAGAACCAGTACACATTGGAGAGGACTCCGGCCATGGAAGATGTTACAAGAAGCGCGTGGAAACCAAGAGCGTTGGGCAGAAAGAACAGCGACGTGATTAAAAAATTTAGGGATTTTGACTACGAAGAGTCAGACAACAGCCACCAAAATTCAAAAATTATTTTTAAGAGTAAACCTAATCTTATCGGAGCTACCATGTCTAGAAAATCTAATTGGATTCTGTTAAATGACAATTTCAACAAGAAGCTATCTAATTGGAAAGCTAAAATCTCTCAATTGGTGGTTGTCTTATCTAATGTAAATCCGTTCTTAGTAACCTTGGGTTTAGGGATGAGCAAATGGATCGGGGAACTGGCCGGAACTGATACCGGAACCGGAACTGGCACCGGAACCGGAACCCGATGGAACCGGTCGGGCCGGGATCGGGATGTTATTTTTGTGGATTTTTGGAACCGGGAACCGGTAGGAACCGGAACCGATATAACTGGAATCGGTAGAACCGGCAAAAATCGGAACCGTATGATGCTATTTTTCAAGGACCGGTTCTAACATTTGAAAACACGACAAGAACCGGTAGGAACCGGGAACCGATAGAACCGTCGGGCCGGTTCGGTTCTTGATTTTGGCCGAAGCCGGTTCCCGGTTCCGGTCCGGTTCGGGCCGGTTCCAGCCGGTTCGGTCCTTTTGCTCATCCCCTACTTGGGTTATACCTTTTCTCCCTTGCACCTAATGTTGTCATCAAGCATTTTGAAACCATTAGATGTAACTTCTTTCAAGGAGGTAGTCAAGAGAATAAAAAGATTGAAGAAGTTGGACTAGGTTTAGTATGGAAAAGATCAATGTTACGATTCATGTTATGAAAGAAGGCCATGAGGATTATAGTTGTCCCATTCTTATGAAGGACAATGATTTAAACTAGAATAAGAAGAAGAAAGCTTGAGTGTGCTACTTGTCGGAAAATTAAAACAACATGGGCGAAAAGAAAAAAATGTGAAAAATAAAATAAAGAAAAGAATTCAGATCTTGAAACTCCATTCATTCGATTTGCGGAGGCATCCGCGAAGCTTCACAAAGAGAACAATGCCACTATAGGGATTCAATGAGCTTCAATTGTAAACGTCGAAAGATAAGTCGGTTAACTCCATCAACTATTACTACAAAGTATATCAAAAATATTACCGAATAATTCTACAGAAAGCCAACAAGAACAAGTAAATATAGTAACCACCAGTGCTACATTCCAGCCTTTGACTCTTAAAGACTCTAAATAACCATCAAAATTCAGTCAACCCGATGAAGTGGTCGAAAAATCCCAGAAAGATAATATAGCTACCCAAAAACCACGTCACGACTTGGGATAAACCGTGCCACGACCTTTTAAGGAGAAGGCAAAAGCAAAATGATTTCGAGCAAGGGAAGAAGTTCCTGGAGCAGATCCTATAACTTTCAATACATATACCTTTCATAAAAGCATTAGCTCAAATGAAAAAAAAATATGAAAATATTCTCAACGATCTCATCACGAATTGAAATAATTTGTAGAAAGCCTCAAGTGTGGTTTTGAATGAACAATGTTTAGCAACAGTGATGCGAAAGATTCCTACAAAAATGAGAGATCCATGCAACCTTACACTGCCTTGCGAGTTCGAAAATTCTATTAAAACAAATGTACTAGCTGTTTCTGGAGCTACTATCTATTTAATGTCATCATCATTCTAAAGAAGCTCGATCTCCCATAATTGAATTCAAGATTCACATGGCTAATTGCATTGTTAGTTATCCCAAAATATAGGACTTGCTCGTGAAAATGGAAAAGTTTGTATTCATATTTGATTTTGTTGTCCATGATATCGAGGAAAATGACAACACTCAGATCAGAGGCGGAGCATCATTAGGGTCAGGAGGGGCAGTGGCCCCTCCTTATTTTTTTCTTAGAAGTAGTCTAGCCCAATAAATTTTACACAAATTTGTGGCCCAAAAATAAAAACTTTGGCCTGCCCCCTACACTTGGTAGTCCAAACTCTAAACCAAAGTCGTCGACCCTCTAACCCTCGCTCAGTCGCTTCAACGCTCTTCGCTGGAGGACCTGTCCACCTCGACACCTTCCAATCGGCAATCTGCAATCACCGCTGATAGCTCCACCTCTCACCTCCGCGCTGGAATCAGCCAGGTATGTTTAGTGTTCTCTCCATTTCTCTCTTCTCTCTTTCTCCATCAGACCACCATCCCCATTCCATCAGCCCCCTGATTAAGTTTAATTGAGTTTTATATTCAGTGCTTCATATGTTTGAATTTACGTGTTATACTAAATTACTTACTTCAAATTGAAACACCAAACCTAGAACTTGAGTTTACAAAATCTAACATGTAATTATGATGACCTGAGAGGATTAAGGGGTTTCATGAATGTGTTGGAATTGCCAATTAATGGTTGGTGGCCTTCAAATTCATCAACTTTTTCATTTTCCGGTTGCTGCAACTAGGTTGGTATCAATTAGAATTCCTCTTCTGGTAGGATTGTTAGATTAGAACTCCTGAATCACATATTAACGGACAGTAGCTCCGATTCATTTTCTAATTTAATTAGGGTTTTACCACTTAACATAAACCTGCCTTCACTTCAAGTATTAGATATATCTGATAATACATGATACTCTTGCATCTTACCAAAAGTTAAAAGCTTTAAATCTTGCCAAGAATCCCAAATTCAAAGGCTAAGTCCCACAAACTCTCAAGAATTTCCCTTCTCTTTCTTACCTTTTCACTTTCCAATTGTAGCCTCAATGACCTCTCAACGGCTCTTAAAGTTCTCCAACACTGCCACAATCTAACTGTTTTAGCTCTTACTATGAACTTCTATAATAAATAGTTGCTATCTGATGATGATCTGCAGTTCAAATCACTAAGAGTACAACTGGCGAGATATGATAAATTTTGACCTGTTATGGTGTTCATGCATTGCAATATGAAACATACTATTGGCTTCATATTGATTGGTCTCATCATTCATTTGTGATATAAATAGATAAGAGAAATTACTAAAAACATTGATTTGAAGTTTGTAATTCTTCTTCTACATATTTTTGGGGTTTATTTGCAGGAAAAAAAAAATTATACTTTTGGCCCCCCCAAATTAATTGCTCAAGCTCCACCCCTGACTCAGATCATTCTCGGGAGACCTTTCTTAAGAACTGCAAGAGCTTTAGTTGATATTAATAAGTCAAAGTAAACATTAAGAGTGGGATCCAAAAAGATGACATTTAGAATCGTCAAAGTGAGGAAGTGTTAGAAGAAAATAGTTGAACATAGGGTACACAAAGATGAAGTGTTATTTACGGACATTGTTAATAATATATTAGAGAATGATTAGGAAGAACAAAAAGGTGAAAACTTTGATACTAATGAATGAAATTTGGAGCTTGAAAGGCTAATGGAAGTGAAGAATACAAGATCTATGGTTCATTTCTCAACAAGATACCAAACCTTTGATTCGGTTGGAATATGTTCTTTGGATCTTAGTTTGGGATTCAATATATATATATATATATATATATATATATATATATATATATATATATATATATATATATATATATATATATATATATATATATATATATATATATATATATATATATATATATATATATATATATATATTTCATTCAGAGAAACTTCATCGTTAACTTGGGCTGCAAGTGGGCTCATGATCGTTTTGATCTTTAGTTAGATTAGCTCTATGGTTCCATTCTCGATGAGGGTTTTTACATTCAGTAGTGTAATAAAAACTCTTGACAACTGTAGCATTAAACTTTCGACATGTTACGAGTTTGAGAGGAGTTATTGTTACCTTTGTTTTGTTGGTTACCACCACCTCGTCCTCTGTTAGATTTGTTGTAACCACCTTTTTCCCATCTTCATCATTGTCCTTTTCCACCACAACTATTATTATTTTATCACTACTTCGATCGAAATTTATTGCTTTTCTTTTTCACTCGTTTTGACAATTCTTCATGAGTAAGTAACAACTTTTTCTCCACAGGTTCTTGATGAACCTTGATTTGAATTTTTAGCCTTCCAACAACTTCTTCAAAGGTAACACTATTAAGATCACCAAGTTTTTCATTTGTAGATGCAAGTTGAATGAATTTGGAGGGTACGACTTGTAACATATTTTGTATAACATACGATTCTTCCATTGTTTTGCCAAGAACACAAATGTTGTTCACGATACCTCCAATCTTCACAAAAAAATCATCCACAACCTCTGATTCCATGCTCAACATCTCAAATTCGTCTTTGAGAGTTTGAACTTTGGCTGTTTTGAGTCGATCTGCACCCAAGTACATCATTCTGAGTGTCTCCCAAGCTTCTTTTTCTGATTGCTTCTCTGCTATTGTCAACAAATTTTCTTTCATGATTGCTTGGTAGATGGCAACCATTTCCATCTTTTCTTTCTTCACACTTAGCATATTTTGTGGGTTCTTAGATTCAATGGCATCCCCGCACCTGTTGGGTTTGAATGTAAATTTTCATCTTTATCGACATGTTGTGTAGGTGGTCCTTGACATCATGAGGTTAAGAGATACTTCCTTATTAGCCATTACACACCAAATTCGCTGACACCAAATTTAGTGTTTACACTCGATAAACAACTTGAATAGAACCGAAGCAAGTATAGAACAAAGAAAGAAAAATCGAAAATAAGGAGGAAGGGTTTTAGTTGCTTAATTGTTAAGCTCTCTTATTAAAAAACTGGAAACATTACATCTACTTATAGGACAAAATTAAGACTCCAACACTTGATCAACAAGCAAAACGTAAGCAACAAGCAAAAGATTTGTAAACTAACTAAAACTACTACTTTCCTTATAAAGATTAGTTTGGATTATTCCTACGGAGTTTTCATAGTTTCTATGGACATGTGGGTTTGGTTTCATTACTTTGGTGGTTTTGTAACTTCGGCTGCGCGATTTCATGTCACTAATGTAATTTGAGTTATTTTTCTATGTTGGGTTTGAGGCTCGCTAGCTTAGGTTGAGCTTTTAGCTTGACTATAGTACTCCATGTTAATTTTCCCGAATATTTTTGTTTATCTTTAGGTTCTTCGGATAGGTGTTTTATTTTTTGCTTTCTTACGAATTCCATATGTATCCATTGTGCATACCCTTTCTTGTGGTTTTTTATATTATAAAGATGGTCAGCAGTTACAAAAATCATATTCAAGATAATTTAGAGCCTTAGGATCTTCGTAGTGATATATTATGTAAAAATAATTTATATTTTTATTTGACGGACTCTACAAAATAGTTAAATTTCTAATAAGGGAGTAAAATGTAAATTAACTACAGAAAGGGGCAACAGTTGAACCAAAATATATTATATTTGCCTCAGAAATGAAAATTATATTATTCTGATGGTCTTAATCCCATTTCCATATAAACGAATGACATCTTGGATATTAGATCAGCAGATGCATCTCAGGGTTACATTCACCCTTTTGTGTGTGTAAGCATAATCAGATAGAAGACTATCAAAGTGCCTATACATTAGCCTACCGATGGCACCAATTATGTTCATATAGCCATCAAAAATCTTAAGGCATTTGTGTGTATGGTTTGGGAGCATTCATCATATTTAGAATTATTCCTAAGAAACACCAAATTTTCATTAAATATCAATTCTCAAGCTTGCTTTCTTTTGATAATCGGCTAATATTAGTTTGAAAACAAAACTTAGCGTTTTTCAACTAGTAAGATCGAAAGTGTCAGATTGATAAAGCATAATAATTAAGAACTCACCTGATGAAACAGTCATCAAGAATAACATAAGCACCATTCTGGGTAGTGCAACGTGCAGTCAATATAGAAACCCCAATATCGAAGCAAGACAGACACTTGGCTGTTGAGAGGTAGCGCCTGCATTGGGTGGTACCATAGACTGAATCTGCATTCCCTAAGTTGTTGCTTCTCGCAAAATAGACACCTTTCCTGGATAACTCTTTTCTGAGCGAAGCAAATGTGGAGTTGAGATTAGTGAAGAATACTGTAGGAGACATCACATCAACAGGGCCACAAAATGATCTAATCGGCATGTCAACAGTGTTGCTGCTATCATTTGACTGTGAACTGCCTGGCTTCACAATCATCCATAGAACGACCACCATGGCTGCTAGCCACCGAGAAAACTGGTAACGTGTTGACATGATGTCACATAAGAACAAATTAAAAGAAAAGAAGAGAGGAGAGGAGTATCCCTCTTTGATGAACAAAATAATTTATAAAAGAAGAGAGTACTACAGGGATATTCAACGTTCGATGAATAAATTTGAGTTGACGATTTAAAGAATGGATATCCAAACTACATTAAATGACAAAAGGGCCACCACGTGTTTCTTCATACTGGATTCTCCATCATCCGAGATGAAATTTCCATCATTTTAATTTATGCATTGACCTAGACAGCCACATGTACATGAAAAATGTCAACTGTAGCATGTGAGGTTGATAACTAAAGGCCGAAAATGAAAACATTACTTAATACAGAGTCAATAGTATATAATAATATATAATGGTCAAACCATCGTGAAGATGGTTTAATAATGGTAAGCATTTTAATGAAACATTTTAAATTGAAGTGGACCAAAGTCTCAATGCTAGAGTGTTCAACATTTTTAAGGTAAATAATAATAATAACCGGTGATGAGACCATGCACATTTTTTTTTTCTAATCAACTGTAGCAGTGGAAATTGTTGATAAGTTGCTATAATTTGGTAGAAACGTACAATGATGTAATAGAAGAAATGGGCTGATATAAAAACAAATAAGCATAAGTAAGTTGTTATTTCTTGGATTTCGTCTTCATTACTCCACGTAGATCATTTAGTTTGACTGCATAGCTTGTGGTGTGGGATTTTCTGATGTGGTTTCCATAGTAAACATCTTCGAGGATATATTTCGTAGATTATCAGGCTACAAAGCAAATTAAATGAAACTTTTTGGTCACATAGTACCTAAAACATGTAACAAACATCATATAAAACCATCAACCCTTCCCTTTTAATCAACCCTTCAACCTTTCACTTTTAATCTCAAGAACCCTGGTTAACGAAGCATCGACCATTGACAACGAATCCAAAATCAACAATCCTTTAATTTCACATCAATCCATTAACCATCGACTTTGATACCCAAGCTTTCGATACATCAATTGATCCCAACTCTTCGCTTTTCATCTCAAGTCTTCGTTCTATGATCAACCCACTCCTTCGATTATCAACTCCAAAATTTGAATCAATCCAAGCCTTCACATTTAACGAATCGATATAAAACCATCAACATTCGAAGTCTATTTAAACTCCAAAACGATTGTCATCAGATCGAATCAAATCCCAACGTTCACCCTTCGAAACCAAAATAAAAACTCAACATCGACTATCGACTTCAATGCGTTGATCCCAAAAATCGAAGTTTCAATCACATCGTATTCACTTTTACAGCCTGTTTCCAAGTTCAACTTAATGAGAGAAACGAAACGAAATGGGTGGAAATGAGAAGAAAATAAAAGAAATTGGTGTTCCCGAGTTTCATTAAAGGAGGGAAGTGGTGGGAAATGGGAGGATCATGTAACAACCCGTTATTTCAAGTCAGCAAAAATCGAGTCCTGTAACCTCTTTGAGAAAGGAAATAGAATATCATCGAAAAATGAAGTATTCAAAAACTCTATTTGGAGTACACTATGTGGTAGTTATCGTCTTAAGGTTTCCAAACATATAAATAACACAAAAATCCGAGTTATAACGAAGAAGTTATGCTCATTCTAAGTTTTCCGACAAAAACCAGCAATACGAAGTTGCGTAAAAACGCAAAGTTTCAATAAAACACTTTTCGACCTTATGTGTCTAAATGAAAGTCGTAGATATCGTTAAACTACAAACATGCATAAAAAGAACGCTCAAATCGGACATCGTATGAATAAGTTATGAATTTTTAAAGAAATTCCTTAATCACGTCATTTTAATAAATAAATAATAAAAATAATTCCGGAATTTGCCAACGGAATCTAAATGAAAGTTGTAGATCGTAGTCTCACCTTCGCGGGGATATAAAGAACGTCAAAAACGGAGTTCGTATGAAGGAGATATGAATTTTCGAAGTTTGATAATTAATATATATATATATTTTTTAATAAAACTTCGGTATTATCCGAAGGGGAGTCAGCGTCCTCATCCGAGGTACGCGCTGCGTACTCCTGTACGCCCCGCGTACCCGAGGAACTTGGCCTCAAACCGTCCACGTCGCCCTATGCGAGGCACCCGACCCGACCCGTCCCATCCGACCCGACTGCCTGAGCCGTCCCATCCGAGGCCGAGGCAGTCGAGGCTTCGGTCACGCATGACGTACGCGTACGCGCTGCGTACGAGCGTACGCCCCGCGTACGTGGCCTCTCAGGCCCCCTATAAATAGCATGCGAGGGTTCCCGGGAAAATGGCCCATTCTCTCTCCTTTTTCTTGCGTTTTACCTCGTTTTCCGTGCTCGCACTACCCCGAAGCCCTGGTCATTTTGTGCAAGTCCCGAAGGTCGATTTTTCTCCCGAGGAATCCCGAGATTTCCGAGGAAAATCCATTTCCCGAGACGAAACTCTGCCCGGTTTTCCATCTTGCTATCTTCAAACTTTCAAGTGAGTTCATACCCCTTTCAAACACACTTTAAATACATTTTAAATGCTTTTATACTCTTTTAGGGGGGAATACAAGTAAACATACGGTTATTATCGTGTATTTTATAAAGTTTCACTTCACTTGTTTTATCGAATAAATCACTTGGAACTCATTACTATTATGGAAAACTCTTGTCATACTTTGTGTGCATTAGACATTATACAAAGTATATAATGATTTCAAAGTAACTTTCATTGTTAAGTCGTTTTATACATTCTAAAAACTTATGATTTTGCTTTGTCAAACATTGTGAAAAAGGATAAACTTTGCATAGAAAACTATCACTTTAATACGGGCTTAGTTGAGAATCCATGAGACGTGTATATCTTCAAACGTTACTTTTCTTTATTAGAAAGTAATGCTGCAAGTCCTGTCTATAACCAGAGTCTCCCGTTCGGAGAACGTGTCAAATGTGTATAGATCTATACGGGAAGTCATGATCCCGCGCCCTGACTGTTAGCTACAGTCCGTCTTTTGGGGTGACAGTTGTCATAACGCTGCGACGCCTGAAGAACGTCGTTACAGGCATATTATGTTTAGTATGGTTATAAAACTCATCGGATATACAATTATTATGGTATTATGCTTTTATGAACGAGTAGCTATTAAAACTATTCTTCATCTAATAAATGCGATCTTCGTATAGTTTTACTATATAAAACTATGACACAACTTTTGAGAACGTCGGTTTCTTGCGATTTTCGGTCTTAGAGACTGCCATTTATTAGGAAAATAAGGGTTTCTCCTGCATACAAACCAAACAACTAATAGGAAAATAAGGGATTTTCCTGGTGCAATTATTTACAACTTATAACACGAACATTTATATGCATTTCATACTTTTATAAGAAAATAAGGGTTTTCTTGGAAAACACAACAACTCGTATCTCAACCATTAGGGAAAATATGGGATTTTCTGGATCTAATACATTCACTTTCAACACAACAAATCACAACTCTTTACATTTGAAATGCTGCGTTTTCTGGAAAATATACACCCATTTTGGAATGGCATCCAATTTTTCTAAACTACTTATGAACTCACCAACTTAATTGTTGACACTTTTTCTTTGAAATAACTTGTATTCTCAGGGAACCGCTAAGCAGGTTTGGGAATCAACTTTTGGGATTAACGCGCTGGCGTTAATTACTTCTTTTGGATGATGTTTATGTATTTATCTTTTGAACATGTAATGAATACAATTATGTAAACATCTTGGAAACTTTAATATATATGGTGGTGTGTACTTTCCTTTCTATGAACTGTTATGATACTGAATATGACGTCCTCCGCCCCCGAACGTTTCCGCCGTTCTGGTTTGGGGGTGTGACAGATTGGTATCAGAGCTTTGTTTATAGGGAATTAAGTATATCAAAACCATTCCTTTTTGATATACAACTATAAACTCAACTGGGCAAAAACACTCTGAGAAAAATTCATACTTTTGAAAGTAAACCTAATTAGTTTTAAGGTAAGCATGCACTCATTTTTATACTAATAACAGTTTCATAGTAAATAACTTTAGAAGTATTATAAATAAGTTGTGCAGCACAGGTACGCCTTGGGACATGTAATCGGAACTGGGAAGAATATAGTCTGATCAACTATATTTGTCCAAGAGCCGACTAACGTATGCCAATGAGTGTCTGTAATGGACAACAAATTTAAAACTTACCAAAAGCAAATCGCTAAAGAATATTGAGGGAGTATTCGAGTAAACTTTTAACTCTATTCTCGTACAGCCTAAATGGCGGGATTCCATCACCCCAATGACCCCTACTACCCCAACCAAGGTAATGGAGGGTGGATTGAAGAAGATCCTAGAGAAGACGAAGAGCCTATAGAGTTGGAGGGAGGGGATGACTCTGGCACGGATTCGGAGCCAGAAATTATAAATCCACCAATCCCACAATCTCCCGTCCACGTGAGGAATTTCCAAGGACCCACTCCAGTGTGGGGAAGTCACCTCCATCATTGGAGCCAACAACAAAGCTTACGCCCTCCTTACGGCATGTGCCGAGACTTCTATGATGTGAGAGGCGGGGGATCAGCCGACCGCGCACTTCCGGTCATGGTTGGCAAACTCGCCAACCAGTGCTATCAATCCGGAGTGCAAGCCAACCGAATCCGAGAGGTCAATGTGGAAGTACAAATCCACACGGCCGATATCAACCGCCTAGAGTTGTTGCAGAACGACATCCACATTCGCGCCGAAGCGTTTCAAGCACAAGCAAATGCGGCCTTCGCAGAATTAAGAGAACAACAAGCTGCGTTTGATAGACGCCTCATGGAGTCGAAGCAGTCCGACACGGAGTCGAGCTCCAAACGCAAAGCGCACCGCAAGTAGTACTTGCCCAACTCTCAAATTTTGTTATAAATTAGGACTTCGGATAAAAGTATTATTTTCTTTAAATTGTTCTGTAATCGGAGGCCTTTAGAAAGGCCAAGAAATTTTGTCTAGACCCGCTGTAACACAACTATAT